TTTTTTATATTTGGAGTTTTTGTCTTATTCTTCCTTAAGTATAACCTTTAACATTCTCTCACTTAAGCTTTGGGTGTTGAAAAGCTTGTTAACATCTCCCTAGGCTGCTGACAGCTTGTGGCAGCAGCTGTCAGCATTAATTGCCTTGCTGCAAGCTCTAATGAGGACTCTTAATTTTAATGCCATGGCTTCTTCATGATACTAGATGGTGCTCACTAACTAGTCTCTTTCCACATGGAAATGAACTATTTTTCTATCCCAGGAAAGGCCTTAAGCTGCCACCATATCTACTTTTCCTTCTGAGTTCACAAAACAAAAGAAGATAGAGAAAGAGCGGGCAAGATAATCCTAGGGCTAGACCAGAGTCCTGGGTCTGCCAAAATCACATTGATGATCTTTTTTAATTCAATTTAATCCAAAATTTATTAAACATGAACTATATGAGAGGTACTCTATTAGGTACTAGCAATACAAACACAATGTATTGTCTCTCCCCTCAAGGACCTTTTATTCTACTGGGGACCTACAATATTTATACAGACTAGTAAATACAAGATGATTTGAGGTGGGACAGAGCATTAACAACTGTAGGGATCATAAAATGATTCATCTAAGAGGTGACACCTGAGCTAACCTTGAAAGAAGGTAGAGATCTAAAGAAACAGTAGTGATGAAGGAGTGAATTTCAGGGATAGAGTACAGCCCTTGAAGAGTCATACACAGGAGATATAGAATGTGGTGCTCTGAGAAGAGCTAGTAGATCAGTTTGGCTACATGGAGTATGTAAAGATGAATAATCTGAAAAAAAATCTGCAAAGGTAGGTGGAAGTCATACTATACATGGTTTTAAATGCTAAGCTTATATAGTTTTCATGTGATCCTAAAGGCAAAAGAGAGCTACTAAAAATTGGGATAAGGTGTGGGGAAATATTGAAGAAAGTAACACAGTCATTGTCCTGGCAACTCTGTCGTATATCATTCATTCCAGGCTTCAGTGAATGAAGCTCACTGTTTATGTAAAGGTTACTTTGCATCGAAATTCTTAAGTTTAATATTAATCGGTCTGACAGGACCCCTGCTTCTTCCAAGCTTGCTTCTTAAATCGGATATACTTTCTTTTTCTTTTACGTAAAACCCATTTAAACAGAACAGAAGGACTTTTAAACAAGACTGTGTAATAAGGTGTTAATAAGTAAGGTGAATTTTGTTGGAATCACAGGACCTATATTCAAATCCTGGTTCTGCCACTTACTACCTAGACAAGTCACTTCACCACTCTGGGCCTCATTTTCCTCATTTGTAAAAATAATGGGATTGGACTAAGTGACCTTACTAAGTTCCCTAGCAGCTCTAAATTTATGATGAAATAAATCTATGATCATGAGAAGACTGGCCACCAGGTAATTGATTTTTTCAACCACAGCAATACATGAAGAGCATCAACTCTGGCAGAGAGGGGTTGCAATTGCCATTGGTGAAGGATCCGCAGCAGTGAAATCGTGGATTCTTGAGCAATTGAAATATTATTTACTTATAATGTATGTATTGACATATACTCACAAACATGTCAGAATATGTAGTCTCAGCCTTCTGAATACCTTTTATGCATGTTGCTAAAATAAGATATTATTAAAACAGATTTAAATTCATCTTATTAATTATCTCTCACATAATGTATTGAGTGAAATGCACTTAATATTTCCTAAATATCTTCTCACTTAACCAAGATTCTTCTTTCCAATGTTGGCCTGAACCCCCAGCCATCATTCTTCACAGACACAGAAAGATCAACATAGTTTTAGAGTTAAGGACCCTAAAAGACAAGGTCAAGGGGCCTGTGGAGGCCCCAGTTGGTCAAAAATGCAACAGAAGGCCTAACGAGAGCTTGACCAGGGCTCTTCTTTTGTCCTCCTGGTTTTCATTAATTTTTATCCCTTTTATGATAATCTACCCCCCTTCTGCCTATCCATTATTACTCATCTTTCAAGAGTCAACTTGTATCTCATCTCCTCCACAATCCCAATTCCTAGTAAATAATACCTTTCTGACTACTACTTCATCTGCAGAATTTCATCCTGGTTCTTTGCTTGCCAAAGAATTCCTACAATAAAACCAGAAGAAGGTCTTGTTCCTTTAAGGTTATTATAATGCTCATGGAACTTCAAAGGAGTGTTGTGATGAAAGTGATCAGTATGCTTTAAAGTTCTACAAAAATTCTATTTGTATTTCTTTTTCTGGGAGGAGGTAGAAGGGAGAAAAAATAAATGCTTAATAATGGGAAAATGTTCATTTAAAAACTAAATACCAAAAAATGGCAAGGTAAAAAATGATGCTATTTGTTAACAGTTACAAAGACAGAAAGACAGTTGAAAAGAATGTTTCATATTTTAAAAGTTTAGAAACTTAGGTTATAGAATGACAACCATAGAAGCTACTTTAGTAAGGTATATTTAATTTAAATAAAATCAATTTAAATAATTTTTAAAGTTATGATGATTTTAGAAGATGACTTTCTTCTAAAGGGTAAAAGGTAAAAATGTGGACATTTTATAATTGGTCTTAGTGTAAAGGAGGTAGCATCACATTAGTCAGTCAACTAGCATTTATTGAGGGACTACTAGGTGCCAGGCACTGTGCTAAGTGCTTGGGATACAAAGAAAGGCTGAAAAAAAAAGCCCATACTCTCAAGGAGCTCATAGTCAAACATGGGGGGGCAACATGCAAACAACTATGTACAAACAAAACATACAAAGAAGTTGAAGATAATGAGCAGAGAGAAGGCACAGCATTAAGAAGGCCTAGGAAAGGTTCTTGCAGAAGGGGGGACTTTAGCTGAGACTTCAAGGAATCCAGGGGAAGCCAAGAGGCAGAGATGAGGATGGAGACATTCCAGATACAGAGGACAAGAATGAAGATGTGCTTAGAGACCAGAGATAGTGTGTCATGTGCAAGGAATAGAAAAGAGGCTCTTGTCATTGAATCATAGAGTAGAGAAGAAGGTAGAAGAAGACTGGAAAGGTATGAAGGGGACAGGTTATGAAAGGTTTTAGAAGCCAAACAGAGGATTTGATATTTGTTGCGGGAGGTAAATAGGAAGCCATTAGAGTTTATTAAATAAGGGACATGACATAGAGTTCAGGTCACTGACCATTAAAATATATATTTTGTCCTCTAAACAGCTGATATGCTATTTAGATGTATGAGAGATAGAAAGAGAAAAGGTCCAAAAAATGTGGCCTTTGGAGCTCCTGGTCACCTGGTTTATGAGAAAAAAGTCATGAGCAGCAAATGCCTGCTGTTTGGGGATGATTGTGGTAGGGCCAGGAATAAGAAAGTGGACTCAGCTGACAGAATCAGAGACAGAGACCTTAGCAGCACTGTTTAGCCTTGCCCCCTTCCTCTTCTCTGTTATGTGATTTGTCCAGAATCTGGAGGAACAAGTACACACAAACAACCTTGGACCCACATAAACCACCAAGAGACATACAAACTAATCTTCTATACCATCTATTTGGAACTGAGTGCAAAATAATACACCCTTCCCCCACATGTCCATCTCCAGAACAGCAAATCTGAGGCAGTAATAGAAGGCCATATATCTGAGTCAAGGAGGCAGCTTTCTTTTGCCAACAGGGCAGTGTTTCCTTGTTTAAATACTGAGCTGTCCCTTGGCATAGAACTGAGAAATATCCACACTATAGAACAGACTCTGGCAAGAAGACAGTTTTCCTCTTTCCTCTCCTCTCCCCCCTTTCCTTTCTTTCCCCTTCTCTCCTTCCCTCTCTTCCCTTCCCCTCCCTGCCCCATTTCTCTCTGCCTCTGTCTCTTTCTTTCTCTCTGTCTCTCTGTCTGTCTCTGTCTTTGTGTGTGTGTGTGTCTGTCTGTCTATGTGTGTGTGTGTGTGTGTGTGTGGGTGGGTGGGTGTATCTGTCTCTATCTCTACTTCTCGGGGGAGGTGTCTCTGTCTCTGTGTCTCTCTGTTTCTGTCTCTGCCTCTCTGTCTCTTCTGTGTGTGTGTGTGTGTGTGTGTGTGTGTGTGTGTATCTGTCTGTCTGTCTCTATTTCTCTAGGTGTGTGTGTCTTTGTCTCCCTGTCTCTTCTGTCTCTGTCTGTGTGTGTGTGCGTGTGTCAATCTGTCTGTCTCTGTCTCTGTTTCTCTGGGTGTATATCTCTGTCTTTGTCTCTGTGTCTCTGTCTTTCTCTGTCTCTATTTCTCTCTCACTAGTCGAGAAGATCTGAGCTCAAATCCTGACTCAGACACTTAATTAGCTGTGTGACCATTCTCATCATCTAACCTCTCTCAGCTCGGTTTCCTAATCTATAGCCTTATCTGTAAAATGGATATTATAATAATACCTACCTTATAGGACTATGAGAATTACTGGGAAAAAAACAAGTAAAGCACTTTATAAACCGTAAAGTACTCTAGAATTATGAGATATTTCACTCTAACTCTGTCTCTGTCTCTGTGCATGTGTGTGTGTTTCTCTCTGTCTCTGTGTAGCTGTCTCTCTCCTTAGGAGAAATGACAGTCCTATGTGAGAGACGCTGGGGTATTTGGGAAAGAACACATTTGGAGTCAGAAGGCCTAGTTTTGAATCCTAGTGCTCTTGCTAAGTAGCTCCATGACTTTAGTCAAGTCACTTACCCTCTCTAGGCCTCAGTTTCTGAGAGAGCTGGACCTCAAGATCTAGTTCCTTTCCAACTTTAGACCCTATGATGTGTTAAAGTAGGTCCCATAAGGCTTAGGGGAGGTATTGATTTGTCATTCTAATTTATCACTATTTGAAGGGATGCTTGCATGTCTGCATCTTCAGAATTTTCTACTTTTTCTGTCTTTAGAGGAAGATACAGCCTACCACAGCTTCCTATATCAGCCACTTGCCGAAAAGAACCTTAGATTTACTGACTGCACCCCAAAACCCTTCCCTGGAGAAATGTTCAGACAACTAGCTGAAAGTATTAGGCATAGAGCTTTTAAAAATAGTGGTCCTACTCACAGTCTGCTTCATCACAGCATTTTTTCTACAGATTCAGTCATTCCAAGAAGTGTACCAGGACAGGAAAAACTACCTGCAACAGCTCAGACTTCCTCTGACAGATTTCTCAAGTCATCAACTACCACCCAAACAGGATTTTGTGCAATTTGTTTTCAAAATTTTCCATGTATGACTCAACAATCCCTTTGAGCAGATGACAGAAGATGCCAAGATAAATGACACAGCATGTGATGCACGTAGTGGTATTTATAAATGTGTTCTTCCCTTTTCCAAAAGCAGAAATCACTTAGGCCCACAGAATTATCCCCAACTGAACTGCTGATATAACCTTTGCTAACTGGGCCTACCATTGGGCCAGCCAATTAGAAATAGAATGTGTCTCCTGGGCAGGCCCAAGGTCTAGAGACACACCAATATAATTCCCTGCAGCCCAATCCTCTGAGTTTCCCTAAGCCCAGTTTAAAAGTCTCAAGTAACGAGTCTTTCACCACCTCCCTTAGGAGATGAGACCAACAACTAATAGACATCACTGCCAAGACGGTTTTTGTGCCGGCCTGTTTGGGTTTTTAGGCTTTTTCCCCCCTTTTCCTTGGTTTCAGCTCAGTGCTCCTAATGATCTCCCATCAGACCAGGCAGAACAACCAAGATCACTCTCTTCGGCCTGACTCAGAGGCCTTCCTGGCCAAAGGTCCCCCACATAAAAGGCAGCCTTTAGATGGAGCTCCTTTTAAACAGGCCAAGCCAAGGGTAAGCCCCTTGCCTGGTGAGGAAAAGAGTGATGTGGACATGAAGCCATCACCTTGTCAGAGATCTCTATCAGCTTGACTAGGGTTATATGGTGTGACCAGGAGCAGGCCAGTTCAAGTTCTTCTGTATAGCTGTTAAGGTCCTTCACAACCTGGCCCCAACCAGCCAATGGACATTTTATTCCCCGTCTTGCTCTCTTTGATTCAGCCAAAGTGGCCTTCTCTCTGTTCCCTATTTTTGACCCTTCCATGTCTGTGTCTTTTCTCTGGCCATCCCTTATGTCTGGAATACACTGCTTCCACCTCACACAGTCCTCTCTTCCTTCAAGACCCCATTCAAGTGACACCTCCTTTGGGAGAGCAACTAGGTGGCACAGTGAATGGAGTATTGGACCTGGAGTCAAGAAACCTGAGGTCTTATCTGGCCTCAGACACTTAGTAGTTGTACAACTTGATCTCTATCTGCCTTAGTTTCCTCAGTTCTAAAATAGGGATAATAATAGCACCACCTCCCAAGGTTGTTATAGGATCAAGTGAGGTAATATTTGTGTTACACAATGCCTGGTTCATAGTAAGCACTTAATAAAAGCTTATTTCCTCCCTGACACCTCCCCCAACTGCTAATGCCATCCCCTCATTCTCAAAATACCTTGTATTTAATTACTTTGAATGCAGTGCTTTTTCTCTTTATTCAGCATATATTTATTGTCTTCCCCATTAGAATCTATATTTATGAGAAGGGACGGTTTCACTATGTGTTTGTGTCCTCTGCACCAAGCACTTAAGTGGATGCTTAATAAATACTTGTTGATTGGCTGATTAATTGATCTCCCACTTCCCTTCCTCCTTGTATTGTAATCAATGCTCCTAATACATTTAGAGATCTTTCAAGGAAAGGAGGACTATAAGTGTAGAGTAAAAACTGTATCTTTAATTATTCTCTCCCTGACAAGGAGAACAGAAATGCATGAGGAATCTGCCCTGTGCAAAATAAAATGAGTTGAAGTGGCATCTGTGTGACTGCTTTGGGCTAAAAACCAGGGGGGCTTCTTATTCGATTCCCCAGCTCCTCCTGTGCCTTTTAACTAACTTTGAAATTCCTAGGGCCGCTGCTAGTGCCTCCATGCTGTTTCCAAGGGATAGAGCCCCATGGAGGTTTATTTGGTAACCTTTGCTAAAATTTCAGAAAAGGAAAATAGAGTGCCCACAAGTAATTAAGATGATTTGTCACACATGATTCAGATAGGCTCGAAGGGGGACCCAAGCCCAGAGAAAAAGCAAGATTAAAGACAAGGCAGCCTGGAAAGTGTGGACTGAACCAAAAAAAAAAAGAAGAAGAAGAAGAAAAACTAATGTTTAGTGCCTCCATACCATGGCCAAACTAAAGTACTTTTCCACGTTTTCATCCTCACCCAGAGATTAAAAAAAAAAGGAATGAATCAGAGTTTTTTGTTTATTTGTTTAAATTTGTACTGGCAGTTAGTTCTCAAAATAAAGAATTCAAATGTTTGTAGCATATTTACAAGTTCCTAAGATCTAACCATCCGAAACCATGTTTCAGCAGAAGAAAGCATAGAAGACAGCATGTTACTCCAGTCTTAGGAATCAAGGTACAAAGTTGAAATATTCCTAAATATTATATACTTTTCAAACAGTAGTCATGTCAAGTCAACAAGCATTTATTAAGCACCTACCTACCAGGTGCCTGTCGCTAAGCCCTGGGGATACAAAGAAAAGCAAAATAAAAAGCAATCCCTGCGCTCAGGGAGCTCACAGTCTAATGGGAGGGTACAAACAATTATGTGCAAACAAGATGTATGCAGGTACAAATTGGAGAAAATCTCCAAGAGAAGATGATTCTGAAGTATCCATTCCTGAATAAAGGAGGCAATCCTGGAAACTTTTGCCTACTTCCTTGTAGGGGCGTTCTGGGCTGTGGACAACAAAGTCCAAAACAGAAGTTGTGAGAGTATATATGACAGAGTGACTCAATTCCCAAAATAAATGATTTAGAGTAATCAATTGTTTTGTATTATTCACATTCTCCCTCAACTTTCATTAGTGTGAATAATAAAGAACTGATCATAATTTAATTCTTAATTTTAAAAGTACTTTTAACCCAAGGAGGTCCAAGTACTTTACCGAGATGAGTAAATTAATTTCTCTTGCTTCATTGAATTCCCAGTGATGTATGGAAGTCATGACTATCCTTATTCCTATTTCACAAGAAAATAGATTTCCCTAATATAGAAGGTAATTAAGAAATTTGTTCAGAGTCCTCAGTTAATCGAGTTATAAATCCAGGATCTGGACTATGCAATAAACACTAGTAAATCTGTTTTAACACTTTGATTTCTTGTTTCCTCGCCTTCCTCTGACATAGCTCCACATGGCACATATTATATTCTAGGAAAATCAGTTCAACTCAACAAATATTCAGTGAACACTTACTATGTTCAAGGTAATATAGTAGGAACAAGGGAAAGAAATATAAAATAAGACACAGTTCTTGCACTCAAGTTTACAATCTAACAGAAGGGAAAGGCAATTCAAATCTGAGCCAATATATGAAGAACTTGATTCTTCTTCATACCTAGGACTGTGTTTTCATGGAACTATCTGGTCATATCCACGCAGTCAGCTAGATTGATTTTTTTCACTGAATTAACATATTTTTGAGAGAAATGACCAAATTAAATACTTGTTTCAGTGTCACGTAGACATAGCTTCAGTCTAAATTGGGTTCCACTCTTTTAAGCAACTAGGGGAACTTTGTTGTCCTTCATAGACACTGAGGACATTATTGACCCACTGTCAGCATGAAAGATGTTTTCAGTTGCTTTTCTGGTAATGGTGATGGATTCATTCTGATGAATCCAATCATTCCCCCTTGAGACCAATATTTCTTCAATACCTTGATAGATCTGAGATCTTACTGATAGAGGTTTTCCCTCCCACAATACAGATAACTAACCATCCATGGTTTTTCACTATGTATGACTCTTGTCTTTGTCCTGTCTCCCAATAAATCTTCCAAAGTGAATTCATCTAATGGACTTAGAGGCCTTCCTTTAGATAGCTAGTTTCATCAAACATAGACATCTATCTAATGTTGCATCTATTAAGGAATCTAGTATAAGCCTAACAAATGTATGGAAGACATCATGTTGGAGAGCTTTCATGACTGTATATCTATAACACAACGAATTGTCAACAAAAAAAAGATCACTGGGAATTTTTCTTTAAATTTGTTAATTTATTTGTTTTATAGGCATTTATTATCTATCCTTCCCACTGCCCCCCACTGAATATTTTTAGATAAAGAAGAAAATCACCTTAACAAATATGCATAGTTGAGTAAAACAAATTCCCATATTGGCCACATCCAAAAATGTATGGCCAAGTCTACATTTTAAGTCTATAATCTCTCTGACAGAAGATGATTACCATGTTTTAACTTTAGTCCTCTGAAATTGTGGTTTATTATTACATTGATCAGAGTTCTAAAGTCTTTCAAAGTTGTTTTTCTTTATAATGTTGTCATTACCTAAGTTGGTCCAGTTCTGCTCACTTCACTCAGCATTAGTTGATAGAAATCTTCCCAATTTCCTCTGAAACTGTCAATTTCATCATTTCTTCTTGCACAAAAACATTCTATATTATACTATTACATATCATATAATTTGTTTAGCCATTTCTGTACCCCTTTAATTTCTAGCTTAGGGCTACTATGAAAAGAGGTGCTATACATATTTTTAGACATGTAGGTCCTTTTCTTCTTTCTTGATCTTTTTGAAGTAAAGGCCTGCCAGTGGTATAGCCCAAATCAATCTTGTATTGTCTATACTTCTCAGGAAATTGTGTGAGTATAAATATGGGGTCTGCTATAGTAATGCCTTCTCTCTTTTTTAAAATCAACAATGATCTATATGTATGTATATATGTAAATTATAGAACCAAAATCTGAGTTGGAAGGGTCTTCAGCAGCCACATGATCCAACCCATATTAGAATAAGACTCCCCTCTGAAACATATCCAACAAGTGATCATCCAGTCTTCGCTTAGAGACCTCCAATGAGGAGGAAATCTTCTGCTTCCCAATGCAGCCCATTTTACTTTTAGATAGCTCTAATTGTTATGAGGTTGTTCCTTACATTGACCCAAAGTCTGCTTCTTATCTGCTTCTACCCATTGCTCTGAGGTCTGTCCTCTGGGATTAAACAGAACAAAGCTGATCCCTCTTTATATGGCAATCAATCAACAAAATATTAAGTGAAGAGGTTTAGAGGATTTGGGGTGCTCCTAGATTCACAGAGGCACCCCAAGATCGCAGTGCCAAGC